TCAGCAGGTTGCTGATCTCCATGATGTTCCCGATGATCTCCACCGGGCCTGCCAGATTCTTCTTCCGTGCTGGCAGGTCATCCTTGGCTTTCTTCAGGTAGGATGCTGGTGCCCAGCCCTCTTTGCCCAGGTATCTGCAGGGAGGAGTGGGACATGGCATCATGAGAGCACCCTGTCCAGGCCCCAGTCTCCATCAGGCCTTGCCCAGCTGAGCTTTCTCTGCTGCGCTCTGTAAGACACTTGGCAAAGCCACTACTCTGGAGAGAACTGGAACGAGGGCCAGTGGAAAGACATCGGGAACGGCACGTCTTCCTCTCTGCCTCCTAGTTCGTTGCCTGATCCCTCTTGGTGCGGGGCTCTCATTGTTTGCAACGTCAGGCAAGCACGGGGCATTGAGATGAGAAGATTCCTCGGATTTGGGCTTTGCCTAAAAGGTAGACTTTGCAACGGCCTACAAGCTCACCACAGCAGAGGGCAATTCTAGAGATGAGAGATGAGGTGTATAGAGTTAAATGCCCAGTCAGAAAGGGAAGGTATGATCAGAGAGGTGAAGAGGCAGCATAGGTGAGAGTTAGGAAACCCGAGTTCTGGCCTATGGTACCTCGGACAAGGCCCTACCCTGGAGCTCAATATTTTCTCTTCTGCAAAATGCCGGGATAGAGTAGCTGCAAACATTTATCCAGAAGGATAGACATATTGAGACCAACTAGGAAGACGTGTATAAAGAGCGAGTGACCAGGCGGGAGAAGCATCAGCACCACTGCAGGAGGAGCAGATGGATCAGGTCCACAGAACGAGTCCACAGACAGCCCAACGCTAAAGGTGACGTTTCAAAGCAGCGGGGTAAGGATGGATTATTCAGTGAGTGATTTGGGGATGACTGATGATCCAGTTAGGAAAAACAAGTGAGACTCTGGCCTTACAACCGTATAGCAAACTTAAAAATGCAAGTCGTGAATATTTGCTTAATCTTGGGGGGGCTGAGAAAATCTTTCTAAGTGGAACTCCAAAAGCAGAAACCATAAATGAAAAGACTAAATAAAGCACATGACTGGATAAAATTAAAGCCTTTGGTATGGCAAAACAAAACCAAAATGAAACAAAACAAAACGAAACAAAACCCAAAACCCATAAACAGAGCAAAAGGCAAATGACAGGGCCGACTTAATTTTAGGGGATTTGCTGACTTCTGAAAACAAGTTTCTCCCCCTTTCCCTCATGGTGTTGAGCTCCTACCCAAACCCACTGAGAACTTACTTCCTGGTCCAGCAATTCCTGGCCAATGCCCTGCAGTCTGGGGTGCAATGTCCCCGCCTGCTCCCTGGGACACATCTGGCTCCCTGGAATGGCTCCTCCGTGCCAGATGCCTGATAATCCCCGGCCCCCCTGCCTCCCTGATCTGACCTTGTTCTTGGGGGCTCATTAGATAGGAGGAAAGGAAATGTGAAAGTTCAAGTTTCTAACGTGTTTGAGCTTTGCTGGAAAGTTCAGGTAGGAGGCGGCTTCTTATGTTCACATCACATGACTGTGCAGGCAGGCTGACCCAAGCTCAGCCGTCTATCCCCGTTTTGGGGCTTGGAAGGCAGACATCAGTGAACAAACGGATGGAAGTCAGGGAGCTGGCAGACAGAAGCACAGAATTTCAGGGCTGGATGGAAGCAACTAGTAAAGATACCTAATCTTACATATACCAACAACCAAGGCTCAGAAAAGCAAAGCAAGTAGCAGAGGGTCACACGGCTAGCTTTTGGCAGCATCTGGCCCAGAACTTGGTGCCCTTCATCTTGGAAGAAAGATGAGGAACCTGCCAGCCACTGGGGGCACCTGTGTGGAGATGGGGCGCGAGGTCTACTGGGAGTGATGGTCAGGACTGCGCACTGTCCTGAGGGCTCCCATTCTAAACCTTGATGTGCTCCTTCCATGTTACATGGATAAAATTAGATTCCAGGCAGGGAGATGCAAGTGAATCAGGAGAGGCTGTGTGTTTGGGTCCAACTCTGCTCACATCTGCTTTCCAGCTCTGGAGCACGGAATGACTCCAGAGGGAAGCAAACTGGAAAAGGAGGATGGGGAGAGAGGGAGGGCGCGCGTGTGTGTGTGCGTGTGCGCGCGCGCGCGCGCGTGTGTGTGTGCGCGCGCGCGCGTGTGTGTGTGTGTGTGTGTGTGTGTGTGGCGGGGGGGGG